AAGGAAGGAAGGAAGGAAGGAAGGAAGGAAGGAAGGAAGAAATGGAATTTGAGAAAGGCAGAGAGGAAAGAAGGAAGGAACTTGTGTGAGAAAGAGGAAGGGAGGGGGGAGGAGTATCTTGCAGTGACTTCTGAATTGTTCACCCCAAACCCTCCGCACCCTCAGAGCATCTCCAGTCCCCACCTCAGCCGCACAACTCACAGCTCGCCTTGTAGACGCCGCACATGGGCCTGACGTTCGGCAAGCTGAACCCCAAGGTGGGGCTGGTTAGTCTCCAACTGGGCCACCAGGGAGGGTCCCTGTTTCTGCTGCAGCTCCCACAATTGCTGTGCAGGAAGGAAGAATGATTTAAAAAAACAAAAAACTGAGGTTGAAGGTGCAGAGAGGGTCCCCCTCCCTTGGAAGCCTCCCGAAAGGACCACGATGAATGATGAGAATAATTCTCAGACAGCTAGCCCTTGGCTTCCAACCACTCATATAGTGACCGTTCCATCTTACAACAGCACTGAAAAAAGTCCTTCCCCTTCCCTCCCTCCTCTTTTCCTTTCCTTTCTTCTATCTTCCTTTCCTTTCCTTTTCATTCCCTTCTCTTCCTTCCCCTTTCTTTAATCTTCTCCTTCCCTTCCTCCTTTCCTTTCTTCTTATCTTCCTTCCCTTTTCTTTCTCTTCTCTCTCCCTTCATTTCCTTTCCCTTCCCTTCTTTCCCTTCCTTTCATCTTCCCTTTCCCTTCCTCCTTTCCTTTCCTTTCTTCTATCGTCCTTTCCTTTCATCTTCCCTTTCCCTTCCTCCTTTCTTTTCCTTTCTTCTATTTTCCTTTGCTTTCTTCTATCTTCCTTTCTTTTCATCTTCCCTTTCCCTTCCTCCTTTCCTTTCCCTTCCTTTCTCTTCCTTTCCTTTCCTTTTCCTTTTTCCTTCCTCCTTTCCTTTCTTCTATCTTCCTTTCTTTTTCTATCTTCCTTTCCTTCCCTTCCCTTTCCTTCCTTCCTTTTCTCTTCCCCTCTCTCCTTTCCTTTCCTTTCCTTTCTTTTCCCTTCCTTCCCTCTTCCTTCCCTTCCCTTCCTTTCCTTTCCTCTTCCCTTTTCCTTCCTCTTTTCCTTTCCTTTGCTTTCCTCTATCTTCCTTCCCTTCCTTTTCTTCTATCTTCCTTTCCTTTCCCTCCCCTCCCTTCGACAATAGGGGCAAGAAGGCTGTAAAAAAATCATGCCTGACTTGCTTAAATAACTCCCTTGCTTAGGAATGGTAATGCTTATCCAATTGTGGCATAAGTCAAGGACTACCTGTAAGACAGAGCTGTCTTCTTCGTGGTTATGCTTCTGGCTTGGTCTACCTCACAAGGCTGGTGTTGGCTGTACCAAAGCTAGGACTTGATCTGATCCCTGCCCAGGTGGATCTGGTGGTCTGAAGTTCCCTCTTGTGGGAAGAAAATGGGGGAGGCACGTGTCTCTCTCTCACCTCCAACCCTGCATCTCTCTCAGCGACCAGCTTTTGAACTCGGGACCCCAGATCCCACAGGAGCTGTTGCATGCTGGGTGGGTCCATCTCACTCCACTGCAGCCCCAGGACATTTTCCGGTTCCTGGCTGACCTGAAAGAAAAGGCGAGTAGTTTTTTTCCTTAGAAACCAGTTATTTGCTGTTCGTTTGATTTATTTTTTATTTTATTTGTCAATTGCTTACAAGATAATAGGTATAAGTAAAAACATAGTTATGAATACATGGATACATACAAGAAAAATAAAAGAAACAATAGGACAGGGACGGGAGGCACGTTGGTGCGCTTATGCACGCCCCCTACAGACCTCTTAGGAAAGGGTATAGTAGACAGTCAATAGTAGACAGTCTAAGGTTAAATTTTGGGGGGGGTTGTGGTTTGTTGAAGTTTGTTGATGTTAAGGGATGCAGTGGTTCACTGGCTAAGATGCTGAGCTTGTCAATCAGAAAGGACGGCAGTTTGGCGGTTTGAATCCCCAGCTACTACTAAGGTAAAGATCCAGGGGGCGTGCATAAGCGCACCAACGTGCCTACCGTCCCTGTCCTATTGTTTCTCTTATTCTTCTTTTATTTTTCTTATATGTACCCATTTCATGTATTCACAACTATGTATACACTTATACTTATTATCTTGTAAACAATTGGCAAATCAAATAAATAAAATACATAAACATCCGTGCTAGTCGTTCCGGCCTCTAGGGGGCGGTGGTCATCTCAGTTTCCAACCAGAAGAGTCAGCGCTGTCCGAAGACGTCTCCGTGGTCACGCGGCCGGCAGGAACACCGAAGGCGCACAGAATGCTGTGACCTTCCCACCAAAATGGTCCCTATTTTTCTACTTGCATTTTTTTTTTTTACGTGTTTTCGAACTACTCAGTTTGGAGAAGCTGGGATAAGTAATGGGAGCTCACTCCTAAACATTTAGGAGTAGCCAAAACTTTTCACTTCTCGCTTCGGAGATGGAAATATTTACATTTCTTAATTGTCTCATCGTTTACCTCTTTGATAGCAGAAGCCAAAGCAGCTTGTACACTAATGTCCAGCGACTGGATGCGGCCAATGAACACGTCTCGCTGTTCACACTATTGGAAGTCCAAGGGAAAAAGTCAACATCTCTCTCTTTTTTTAAAAAAAAAATATTAACCATGAATCTAGGGATCTAGAAGCGAAATGCATGAAGAACCTTATTTAATAAGATTATCTAGGAATCTGGACTTGGGTAGGAGAAAGTGCTTATGTTTTATTGCAGGGAAGTAAGTTTAGAACAAGTCTAGTCCAAATCGTCTGTTGTGTCATATAATATTACTGGTTGATTTCTTTTCTCCTTTCAGTGATTTTTCTTTTCTTTTCTTTTAATTTTTATTGGTTTTTAAAAACAAACATAAACAAACAAAACATAAAAACATCAAGCTATCTTCCATAGGTGTACATACAGTGTGCCGGTTGGTTTACAAATTGTTTTGTGCTTCCATTTCGTAGTCTTCAAATACAATTACATTGCAGAGTCTGGGAAAATCACTCTACACATGCCCGGGAAACACACGCAGCAAGGGGAACCACCCAGCACCGCAAACCAATGAAAGTTCTCATCATCCCTTGCTAGATTCCCGCAACCTACCTGAACGGCACTTCCTAGCAAAAGCTGCACCAATTTCTTCATCTCCTGAATGGCCTGCGCTGAATGGGAAGATCAAGATTAAAACCCTGGTTGCAAATAATTTCTCTTTTCTTCAGATTGCTATTTCTCCCTTAGCAAAATGGGTTCATAGCCCAGATTTTAATGAAGAGAAGGCCTTGGGGGTGGGGGGGACAGGACAAGAAGCAACGGATGGAAACTAATCAAGGAGAGAAGCAACCTGGAACTAAGGAGGAATTTCCTCCCCTAAGACGGGGGTTGGACTAGAAGACCTCCAAGGTCCCTTCCAACTCTGTTAGATTTGGAAGAAGTTCTCTAGACTGGCAGCCATAAAACCAGGCTGAGGGATGTGGGTTGTGAGTTTTTCAAGAAAACAAACCCAAAGTCTATTTATCTAACTATCCCAGCCTAAATTCCTTCCCAGAGTTCCCCAGCTACCATTACCTGTGAAGGGCTCTCTGACCATAACATGGAGGTTTGGAGGTGGGGAAAGGATCACCTGGTGGAGCTCGTCCTGGGATAAGAAAAAAAAAAAGGAAAGGAAAAATACAGGCAATCCTTTTTTTTAATTTTATATTTACAAGCCCATCTTTCAGTTAAACAGTGTGTCGACTGGGTACATATATCTTGTGCTAAATCATTTTGTGTTATTCTGAGAGATGCAGTTAGAGACTTATTATTTATGGGGGTGGATTTGTTGGAGCCCTGACTCTCCATCGAATATTTTTATCCTGATCTGGTTGAAAAAAAAGAAAGTTTATGCTTGCAGAGGTCCTTCCAGCTGTGGCACCAGATCCCAAGGTTCAACTCACCCTGTAGAAATTCTGCAGCCTTTGGAAGACTATTTGAAGCGTCTGCAATCTCTCTTCCTCCCTGTTGTCATCTCTCCAAGGAGATGGAGGGCCGCTAGGAATTAAGTCACTAGAGAAGGCACAATGGAGAATTAAAGACGGGTGGACTTCAACTCCCAGAATCCCCCAGCCAGCATGCTTTGAGATGGATGGACTTCAACTCCCAGAATCCTCCAGCTAGCAGGTTTGAAGATGGGTGGACTTCAACTCCCAGAATCCCCCAGCTAGCATGCTTGAAGATGGATGGGACTTCAACTCTCAGAATCCCCCAGCCAACATGCCACAAATTCAATGAAGTCATTTGTGTCATCTTCTCTTTTAAATGGAAGAAGAAAAAAAGTCTGCGAATTGCTCTCTAAATCGCTCAAAATCTGTGCATCGCCCATCTTGAACTAAGCTATTTTTTTTAATACTGTGCATAATAAATAAGACAACTCCCCAGTTTTGCAGAAAACACACTCTTTCTGCAAATGTATTTGTTTAGTTAAAAGACAACGACGAACTGGATGCATGGCAGGCAGCCAGTCTCCAAAGATGCTTTTCTAATTTTTATTTTTATTTAATAAAACACATTTTGTTTTTCATCCCGGCAGCTCCATACCCCTCATCGTCCTTACAAGTGGGGAAAATTCTGGTTTCGTTTGGTCTTTTAAAAGAAAATGGTGGGTCTCTTTCAATTATGGTTTGTTTGTTTTTTCTTAAACCATGGAAATTCCTCACAAGGGACATAACTGGTTGAGAATTCTGAGCCATCTATAGTTGCCCCGGTCCTGCCGGAAACTACGAGGATTCAACCATAATATTAGAGCAAGATTTGTTGTGTTGTGTTGCATCTTAAGCCGGCAAAAAACCATGACTCACATCATTTGCATGATTCGGTTCAGGAAGTCTCCATTCACCAGTTTTCGGAAATATTCGTTCGCCTCTTCCTCCCCCTGGGGAAGTTGGTTGGTGCTCCTGCCCACCAGATCTTCAAACGTCTGCATCTGTTCAGCCAAGACAAGGATGATCCAAAATGTCAGCCTGGGCTTGGCGGTTTGCTTTACGACCTCTTCACAGAACATTGTGGCCGTAAGTGGAAGACGACTTGTGTTCAGTTCCTGAGTTTGCCCATTCAACACATCATCAAACCCACAACTGTTTTTGTTTTAATTTTTATTGAACAAAAATGAAACATTTAAAAACAATGAACGTGGCGAAATCATCCTGACACACCTAATTGTCTTACATAGCTATTTCATATGGTAAATATATAATATATACATCAATATATACATCAATATCAACAATTCTTAATTAATCCTAATCTATCATTTGAACATCCTTATCTTATTTTAATTTCCATTTTGAGTCCTTCCTTTTTCCCCAACCAGTGGTAAAACTTTTCCCATACTTTATAGTATTCAGGTTCATCTTTATTTTTTAATTCCTGCGTTAATTTATCCATTTCTGCACATGTCCATATCTTTTTAATTATCTCTTATTTCATCTGGAATTTCCTTACATTTCCATTTTTGAGCATAGACTAGTCTTGCAGCCGTAATCACGTGTATTATTAGGTACATCATATCTGTATTATATCTCTCTATATTAATTCCCAATAAGAAGAATTCCGGTTTATATTTGAAACCCTCAACCACCTGAATATAGTCAACAATGTTTAAAAGGATCTAAGTTTTCCTTTATTATATTATTTTATTTTATTATTTTATTTTAATTCATTTATTTTATTTTTTTATTTTATATTATATTTGACATTTAATTTCATTGTACTAAACTAAACTAACCTAAATATTTTATTTTATATTTCTTTATTTTATTTTATTACTAGCTCGATACCCGGGCTTCGCTACGAAACGATGTGGTCGAGCATAGTTTTTGGGGAGGAAAATAAGGGGGGAAAAATTCTGCCTCTGCCTACCAGCATCCATCAGTATTCATCTGGCTAGCATCCTGTCAGTGTGTGAGAGTGGAGGGCTGTTTGGAAACCGAAACAGTATTTGCTGTGTGAGCAAGGAGACAGCAAGGAGCCTAGGCGTGGCTTAGCTCAACTGTTCTGTACTA